CTATAAAACACAGATGAACACCAACTCAGTAACAGTAGGTGACTTCACTACCCCATGATAACCAATAGACAGGTCAACTGAACAAAGAATAAACAGACAACTGAATTAAATGGCATCTTACAGCAAATGAACCTAACACATATCTATAGAATATTCCACCCAAGCACCAAAGAATATACTTTCTACTCAGCAGCCCCTGCAAGGGTCTTTAACATTGACCACATACTGAGACACAAAATGAACCTCAAAAAGTACAAAAAAATTAAATAATTTCATGCATTCTATCAGGCCACAATGCAATAAAGCTTATAATCAACAGCAAAAGAAGATCTATTAACAACAGAAACTATTTGGGTTAAACAACACACTCATGAATGATGAATGAATCAAAGAAGAAATTACAAAAAAATAAAAGTATTCCTGGAACTAAATGGAAAGGTTAGTACAACAAAAAAATCCTTTGGGACATTTTAAAAGCAGTCCTAAGATGGAAGTTTATAGCTCTTAGTGCCTACGTTGAAAAAATAAGAAAGAGCACTTATAAATGATTTAATATACAACTCAAGACTCTGGAAAGTCAGGAACAAACCATGTCCAAGCCCAGGAGATGAGAAAAAAATAACAGAGTAGAAGTTAATGAAATAAAAACAAAGAAAATACAAAGAAACAATGAATCAAAGAGCTGGTTCTTTGAAAAACTAAACAATATAAACAGACCCTTGGCCAGTTAACCAAAAGAAAGAGCAAATCCAAATTAATAAAATCAGAGATGAAAGTGAAAACATCACAACAGACTCCTCAAAAATTCAGAACATTATAAGGTAATACTTCAAAAACCTATACTCTATTAAATTTGAAAATGTAAAAGAAATGGATAAACTTCTAAATTCATGGAAACTACTAAATTTAAACCAAGAAGAGATTAGCAGCTAAACTGGCCAATAACAAATAAGGAAATTGAAACACTAGAATTTCCCAACTAAAAAACTCCAGGCCCAGATAGATTCACAACAGAATTCTACCATATGTTCAAAGAAGATCTACAACGACTACTCTTTAAATTATTCAAAACAGAGGGCTAACTCCCAATTTTTTTCTATGAAGCCAGTATCAGACTAATACTAAAACCAGGTAAGACAAAAGAAAAAAGAAATCTATAGGCTCATATCCTTAATAAACATGTAGACAAAGATCACAACAGAGTACTCACAACTACATACAAGCACACATCAAAAATATCATGCATCATGATCAAATCTGTGTTATTCTGGAGATGCAGGGATTGTTCAACATTTTAAGTCAATAATTGTAATAATAAATCATATAAATGGTCTTAAAGATAAAAATCATGTGGTCGTCTCACTAGATGGAGAAAAGGCATTTGAACAAAATCAACATGCATTCATATTAACAGTCCTAGATAGGACATACCTCAACATAATTAAATGTATATACAACAATCCACAGTCAACCTCATTCTAAATGGAGAAAAAGTGGAAGCATTCCCATTAAAATCAAGAAACAGACAAGGCTGTCCTCTATTTCCACTCCATTTGATATAGTGCCTGAAAGACTTTCAAGAGCAATAATAGAAGAGAAGGAAATTAAAGTAGTACTAATTGGAAAAGAAGAGGTCAAAATATCACTATTTGCAGAAGATACAGAAGGGATCCCAAAAATTCCACTCTACTAGAAAACTGCTAGAAATGATTCGTACTTTCAATAAAGTGGCAGGTTACAAAGGCAACTTTCAAAAATCAGTAGCCTTTTGATATCAAACAAAATCCCCATGCTATTCCTCAGAGTTAGAAAAACTATCCTATAATTTGTACACAATCATGAAAGACCCTGAATAGACAGAGTTATAGTCATAAAAACAGCATGATACTGTCACAAAAACAGATATCAGTGGACACGTAGATAAAAGATCCAAACATGAGAAAATGAAATTTCCATCACCTGATATTTGGCAAATGTCTCAAGAACACCCAATAGAGGAAAGACAGCATCTTCAACAAATGGTGCTCACAAAACTGTATTTTCACCTGTAGAAGAATGGAATTGAACCCTTATCTCTTACCATACACAAAAATCAACTCCAAATGGATCAAAGGCCTCTATACAAAATCTGAAACTCTGAAACTGCTAGAAGAAAACATAGACAGTACCCTATAAGGTATAGCTTTAGCAAAGGACTTTCTAAATCAGACATCAGTTGCTCAGGCATTGAGGTGGACAATTAAAAATGAAACTCATTAAACTTAAAGACTTCTGTACAGCAAAAGAAACACCCAAGGAAGTGAAGAGGAAACCCATTGAGTGGGAGAAAATCTTCACCTGCCACATGTCTGACAGAGGATTGATATCCAGAATATTCCATGAACTCAAGAAACAAAGAAAACAAGAAAACTGACCCAATAGAAAGATGAGTTAATGACTTGAACAGAGAGCTCTCAAAAGAAGAAATAAGAGTTGCTAAGCAACAACTTAATTATTGCTCAACATCCTTAGTAATTAGGGAAATGAATATCAAATCCACTTATGATTTCATCTAACCACAGTCAGATTTGCTAAGAACAAGGGGAACAAAAGACACCACATCCTCTTGAGGCTGTGGATAAAGGGGAGCACTAATTCACTGCTGGTGGGAGTGAAAACTGGTCAACCACTATGGAAAGCAGTGTGGAGAACTCTCAAAAAACTAAAAATGAATCTATCATATGATGCTGTTATATTACTCCTTGACATATACCCAAAGGACTCATCTTACTATTGACATACCTAAATATTCATTTTTGTTGGTGCTCTTTTCACAATAGTCAAGAAATTGAGGCAATCTAAGTGTACTTCAGCTGATGAATGGATAATGAAAATGTGGTACATTTACACAATGGAGTCCTACTCACCAATAATAAAAGATGAAATTATGAAATTTGCAGATAAATGGGTAGAACTAGAAACTGTTCCACTAAGTGAAGTAACACCGACTGAGAAAAGCAAGCAGCATATATTCTCACTCATTTGCAGATCATATCCCCAATCTCTTATACATGAGCATGTCATAGAAAGAATAAAATCTGAAAGGGGAATAGTAAGGAACATATGTTACTTGGGGGAGGTGGAGAAAGTAGAGCTGTTTGGCTGGGAGGGGAGGTTGGAGAGACGTGCAAGGGACCATGGAGGGAGGAAACAGGAGAGGGGGTTGGTGTTGGGGGAAGATGAGGAAAAAGGGGGCACTTGGTCTAGGTAGAGAGAAGGGAGTTTGGACAGGGGAAGAGAGAGCGGATATGAATGGAGCTTAAGAGATGTAGGACAACAGAGGGAAATGTGTTAGCTCAGGACACCCCGGAGAAACACAGATACTGTTTGTGAACATTAGTGAACATGTATACCTAGGGACTGTATAGCAAGGATCACAGTGACAGAGTATACCTCCCTTTAAGTTGTTCATTAGAGTAGTCCAAGAGACTTCCAAAATAACACAGGCTATTGCTGGAGCCCTTGGTTATCTCCCAGGACTTGAAGGTAAGATCCACTACTGAAGACAAGACATAGTTCAGACACAGGTCTTGGAGTAACGGAGATGGAACTGGCCTGGATGCCTTCTCCCTGAAGACTAGATTTCACGGTTCTAGAGGATACTATGCAAGTTGTTAAGAGAGAAAAATAATCAATGGTTCGACCCAGCTGTAAAGCCTAATAACCAAAACACCTGGCGTAGCAAACTACTTCTATTGCTGCATTAGTGGCACTGTTATCTTGGGAGGGGGGTAAATAACAGCTGTGTAATTGGACTTAAGGCCCTCTCAATGGGAGGAAACTCATGGGTGGCACTGTACATATAGCTAAATACATATGGCTGGAGAGGTCATCGATCCTAGAGAAAACCCTATCTCTGTCATATCTCTAGACAAATGATTTCTTTCTAAATGCTAAATTTGGATCCTTATATTTACAGACAAGTGTATTATACACCACTCATCAAAGAAGCTTCTTTTTGCCAGAGATGGAGGCTATTACAGAGTTCCACAACTGGTCACACACAGAGAACATATGTCTGAGAGATACCCAGCCCCAGATGACACATCTACAGTGGAAACTCTACACCTAAAGTTCATGGAACATAGCAGAACAGGGGGTGGAGTGAATACTAGTGTATCCCTCAGCTCTCTCCAGGGAATCTTCCTTATACAACAGAGTGTGGTGCACACAGAAGGTCACCACTGTTTAAATTTTAGAGAATAAGAGACTGCAGAGTGTATTCCCTTGGATAGGATTCCTATATTAAACTTCACACCACCCACAGCTCAGGGGGCATCAAGATTGTAAGAGCCAGGGTTGGTCCATGGGCATAGAGAAACAGAGGCTTTCAGATCACTGGTAGTTTGTCCATGTTAACTTCTGGCAATGGTGGTGGCTGCATAAGACCCATGCTGGCTAAATCATCCAAGGGCCTAATACAGAGCAAGGAAAATGAGCTGCAGGACCTCGTCCTAGCCTGGAAACTTTGGGAAACTGATTAGTGCTGGGTGAGGGAGAGCAGGTCTTCTTTAAGATCTCCCTGGGCTGCCTGTGGGATTAAAGGGCACACACCTTTAATCCCAGCACTCCGGAGGCAGAGGCAGGTGTATCTCTGTTAGTTTGAGGCCATTGAAGTCTACATATTGATTTCCAGGCCAGCTGTGGTTACAGGAGACCCTTTCTCAAAATAGACCCAAAAAATAAAAATATAAAAAAGATGTCTAGATAGGCTGACTAGACTCCAGTAAATGAACCTGCACCAAAGGCTATCTGGGTACAAATGCTGGACTGGACAGGATTTAACATATATGATAGGATGCATGAAATCCCATAGGGAGAGCTCTGTGGGTGTTTATGGGAAGAGGTCTAAATTTGATTAAGAACTATTGTATAAAATGCACATAAACTCTACAAAGATATTTTTTAAAATAGCACTATGCTAAAATTCACACTTACACCAGTATATAACATATAACCAGTTATATAATAACTCTAGTTCTAGAGTTAGTAATCCATGATGGACAAAGGAGTGCTCTGTTGAGCAGTCTTCCCAGGCCTCCCTTTACTTCCTTGTTCCTCAGGCTGTAGATGAAGGGGTTCAGCATGGGAGTCACCACAGTGTACATCACTGAGGCAATAGAGCTTTCTTTGGAAGAACAAGTCACAGCAGAACTGAGGTAAACCCCAAGTCCTGTTCCATAGAACAAGGAGACAACACAGAGATGAGACCCACATGTGGAAAAGGCTTTATGTCTGCTTGAAATAGAGGACATCCTCATCAACGTGCAGACAATCCGAGAGTAAGAAAACAGGATGCCAGTCGTGGGAAATATACCCAGCAGAGCAGTTACCACATACAGACAGATACTATTGATGAAAGTATCAGAACTGGCCACCCTGAGAAGCTGAGCCAGGTCACAGAAGAAATGTGGAATTTCAGTGTTGATAGAGAAGGTGAGGTGCATCAGCAGGAGAAAGTGAATGAGGGAGACACAGAGCATGACGACCCAACATATCAGAATCAGGAGGCCACACAGCCTTGGGTTCATAATGATTGTGTACTTCAGAGGGTGGCAAATGGCCACAAATCTGTCATATGCCATTACAGTCAGTAAAAAGTTATCCATTCCAACAAAAGTCATAAATAAATACAACTGAGTGAGGCACTCCATGTAAGAAATGCCTTTGCTGTACATTGAAATATTCATGAGCATCTTTGGGACTGTGGTAGAGGTGAAGCAGATGTCAACAAAGGATAGATTGCAGAGGAAGAAGTACATGGGGGTGTGGAGGTGGGGATCAGAGCTGACAGTCAGGATGATGAATAAATTTCCAAATACTGTGATCAGGTACATGATCAGAAATAGTCCAAAGAGAATGGATTGCAGTTCTGGATCCTCTGAGAGGCCTTGGAGGAGGAACTGTGGTCCTCCAGTGTGATTTTCTATTTCCATGTCACTTGACTATATCCTGGTGAGGGAAACAAAAGAAATGTTTGATGATGGCTTGGTAGATAGCTCATTGGTTAAATAATCTACTGCAAAATGGTAAGAACAGAAATTGTGATCTCCTGAATCCACACAAATGTCAGGTGAACATGGCAGCCCATCTGTAATTCCAATTGGAAAATTGGAGACAGGATCCACGTAGTAAGCTGGTTATTGAGACTAGCCATAGGGTAAGCTCTAGGTTTGGTTGAGGCAAATTATTTATTTGGATGATTCCAGACATTAATCTTGAACCTCTACTTACATGCATACCCACATGCACCCACACCTGTATACGTGCCCACACACATGTAAACATACACACACACACACACACACACACACACACACACACACACCAAACAGAAATAAATAAAATACTTAATGAATAGCCAATTTGAACCTCAGTTCATGAAGTCATTCAAGGATGGACATCCTTCATGCTGAATGAAGTCTAACCTATGAAAGCTATTCACTTTACTAAGTAGTATCTCATTTACCTTTAAAATACATGTAATCACTGGGTGTGGTGGCATGCACCTTTAATCCCAGCTGTCTCCTGCAGGTGGAACTCTGTGAGATTGAAGTCAGCCTGGACTGCACAGTGTCTTCCAGGCAGGATGGAGTAACAGGGGAACATATCTCAAAATATGTATAATTGTTCACATTTCCTTTAAACAGAAGTTTATTCTGTTTGTATCACTAGCTCAATTGTTTTAATTTTCCTCTTTCAATTTATGAACATAAACTAATTGTTACTTGTTATATCCTATCCTAAGTATTGTCTGAATAATTTCTATTTTTTAAATATTTTATCAATTATTTTTATTTTATGTATGTCAGTGTATTGACTCCATGTATGTAAGTGCACCCATGTCATGCAATGCCCGAGGAGGTCAGAAGAGAATGTCAGAGCCCCTGGAACTGGAGTTACAGATGATTTCTAGCCACCATGTGGGAGCTAGAAATTGAATCCCAGTCCTTTGCAAGAGCAGCCACTTCTCTTAGCCACTGAACCATCTCTCTAGCCCTGATAATTTCTATACTTAGGTTTGAAGTAATTGTTAACTGTAGGCCTTTAATAGAAACAAGCTTTTTATTCAGTTACTTAATGCAGCATGGTGCCCTACTATTTCTTAGTGCCCTACTACTTGTTTTGTATAAATACAGTCATGATTGTTACATTGTAAAGCTTTATAAAACTTTGATCACTGAAGGACTTGAGTCTCAGTAAATGATAGCTATCATTATCACTATTGTTATCATTGCTGGGTTTTATTCTAATTTTATTATAATTACTTTTACACATAGCTCTTCCAAGCTGCAGGATACAACTGTGCCTTGAAAATGGAATTCTTGAATCATGCTTGATGGAACAGAACTTTGATCCACCATCTTTCTGTGGAAAAATTATTTAATTGCTCTTAACCTTAATTATATCACATCTATGATAGAAACACTTAATGTTGACTATATGGTAGAATTAAAAAGCAAACTTAAAGATATAACACTTGTCCCATAAATCCTGTGATATATTGGATATTTCATAAATGTGCATTTCTGTTTTAATGCTCCAATAAACCTCACTTAAAAATATAATTTGTTACTATCCCATTACACCGTGCAATCCTCATGTATAGAATTCTGATTATTGTGAACATATCAGACTTTTTAGCTTTTTGGACAACCATGACATCATCTCTAATTAATGAAGGTGTCTGTGATTTCTTTTTTTCAAGAATGCCCTGCATGTGAATTTCCTCCTGAAAGAGAAAAAGGTGTGTGAACTGCATAGGAGGAGGAAGACACAAAAGCTGACTACCAATAAAATCAAATATGGGGTTTGGATATGTAGCTCAGTGGTAGAGCACTTAACTAGTGTGCACAAAGCCCTAGGTTAATCATCAGCATTGCAAAAATTAAAACCAATGAGCGTGTTTGTGTGTGTGTGTGTGTGTGTGTGTGTGTGTGTGTGTGATCTCATGTGTCCATGCTCATGAAGAGCTATGTATTGTATTAAAATCATCAGAGTTCATAGCCAAAATATAAAATAATATAATTAAAATACTGAAAATTTTACATTAATAGATAAATTATTTTGTAAAATTGAAAGATAAAACAAACACATAAAAATATTCTGAACAGGTACCTCCCCCAAAGATCTACTGGTAGCTGACTTCTGGGGAATGGGAGTTATTATCATCAGTGGTGCAGCCAGTCGTGAGTTACCTGTGTTCCAAGACATAGCTCCACAGCCATGCCCATGCTAGAGGCCCTGCCTAAACACAATATGTTACAAAAACATGAAACAAAATGTCATGACATTAGTCAAGGGACTTCATCAGAGAAAAGGGATTTTGTGGGAAGTGTTAAGAGATAACTGAGTGTTGAACATATTATATACATATATGAGATAGTCAAAAAATGACTAATTAAAACATTTTTGAAATATAGATCATTTGTAGAGGGCTTGTACAATATGCAGAATATTCTGAGTTAAATTCCCTGTACCACACAAAAAATTCTTGTATGGTAAACATTGTCAGTATAATGAATGATGAAATATTATTAATCATCATCAAGAAATAATTTATTCTGTAAACATTAATAGGGTTTTCTCTGAAATAAGGGCATTTCAATTGTAAGAGAATGGGTGTGCTGTTATTAATCAGTGTTGGTAAGGAAAGACAAAAGTTTTAGGCTTTGAAAACAGAGTGTAAAGTTGTCCTATCCTATTAGATGGTAAGCTCATATGATGGAGGGTTGAAGGGCCAATGTGATGAGTGAGGGGGTGAGAATTGGGGAGTCAGACTACAAGGACCAGGTTAGTTTTCTTTACGCTTCATTAGTTCCTATTTCAAAGTACTGTGTTTGCATTTATGGAGAGTCTGTGAATGTGAGCTTTACCTCATTTGCTTTCTAAACACATACATGGCTTTTCTTACTTTGTGCATTTTGAACAAACGCAAACATTGGGCATGTGATAAAGATCAGAATCCAAATCTCAACTACACAATTAAATAAGATAATTAAGTAAAATACATTCATATCTACTTCAAAAACCAACCAGTGCTAGGAATAGAAGACTGATTAATATAACTATGTGGACTAGCATTATTCACTACAGAACAGGATTAATGAATATAAATCCTAACCAACCAAAATTACAGTAGAAGAAAGTACTTGAGAATATTGAATAGCTATTTATGGCTTTAAATTCCAGAAATGAGACTGTCAGGACAATAAACAAAGTAACAAAATGACAATATTCTGACACAATAAAGAAAATTGTTTTTAAAGAATGTCCAGCACAACATGTTACAATAAAATACTAGAGGATCTGTGTCTAACTCATCATAGTATGCCAATTCAGACTTATCCCACTTCAGTCACATTCTATATTTCTGATCATTTCAGGGGCTGGTAACATGAAAAATAAAATTGAGCTATTAAGTATCAGAAATAAAGACATTATTTGCAGATGCTAATGTGGGAACAAATTTGAAAATAGAACTAAAATAGGGTGATATTAATAAGACAGCTAAGTCAAATCTACTAGTTAAAAAGTATAGGGACTACAATAAAATCTATAGAATTTGAAACAAAGTAGGCAATGAGTATCTTAATATATTTTTTTTCAGTGAGTGAATAATGATTAAATAATTGGATGGAAATAAACTAACAAGAGTTTGCAATCTATAATTAAACAGTGGAGAGACTGGCGAACTTACCAGAAAATAAGTCTAATTAGAAAGATGCTCTCTATTTTAAGAATGAGAAAAGGAAACAGAGTATCTGGAGAAGGCAGTTCTTGCTTCTAACAGCTGAAGTTCCTTCAAAGTTCAAGGATTTGAACTAGATAGACTGAGTAGATATGGTATTTCCCCATTCTCATTGTTCTAGCACTAAAGCCCAGAACTCACAGTCCCTTCACTTTGCCATATTATTTCACCAGTTCTAATAAAAACAAACAGTATCTCTGCAATGATTATCTCTTTTACAAGTCTCCCTGTAGGAAACCCTTGTGAATTTTCACACTGGTTGAGATCACAGAAAAATAGAAGAGGGATGGCAATGGCAGGTTTGTAGCTTTTAGCATTCTAAGCTTGAAATCCCAGAGCTCCTAATTAAGCAAATAGTTCTATTGTCATTTCACGTTAAACAATTTCTGTCTCTTGAGGTACAAAGAAGAAAGAACAGAGGGATGTTTAAGTCAGTTTTCCTATGTAATCAGTATGGGGAAAACTGTGTTTCCTTTGAGAAGATTTTTAGACATATTTTAGTTTCCTTTCTGTCATGGTGTTTATTCTAAGCAATGTTGAATTACTGCAAGAGATTGATTTAAGGAATAATGTCTCTGAATTATAAATACTTAGAAAAGTCGTTGGACATTACTTTCATATTATATCAGATTCATTACACTTATATTTATTTATGTAAATTAGCCTAATGTATTAGCTATCGATGTGGAGCTATCTCACTCCACTGCCCCATTCAACTTTAT